GAGCGGGGAAGGTGCAAAATAAACCACCTGGATAGTAGAGGAATACAACACATAAGAGTTCCTCGTCTATTCATAGTACGAGTGTGAAGTGAATGCAGAATGTCTCCGAGTAAGGTAGGTACAGGATTATGAGTTAGAAAAATCTTGACAGCGTTCACATATATGAGTTGGTCTGGATTAGGGAATAGTACCAACCCATATAGTAGAAGAGCCAACATATCCTCAAAGGCCTAGAAACTCGTAGCATCTAGGAATAGTTTAGCTTTCTCCAACATGAATTTAGCCACAAAACCTTTGACTCTGCTTCTTGCTTCCCAGTTGGATATAACGTGGGACCACTTCAAATGTAAGGCTGCAACAACGACTTATGGTTTTGGAGCTTCCTCTAAATCGGTAAAGGGAATCTTATCAAGAATAGGTAATCCCAGTAATTGAGAGAACTCTTCCATAGTGGGTACTAACTGGTAATTGGGAAAGGTGAAGCAATGATGTCCAAGGTTAAAGAATTGTAAGAGAACCTTCTTCACGTCATCATCAAAACTTGGAGTAACCAAATTGAGCAGTCGACCATTCCTCTTAATAAATGAAGAACTTTCGGGGACCCTTGATACTAACTCTTTAATTTTAGGGGGGACCCTTACAAAGCTGACTTGGATAGTGTTTCTGTGAGAGGTGGCCATAGTCTGCAGAACAGAACAAAGATAAATTCCCTGGTCCTTGAAATGGTTAGTAGAAATGAAATGGTATGAATGTTATGATGCATGATGTTATGTTCGAACAATTTAATCACACACAAACAAAACACACAATTCCTTAGGTTAAAGCTTGCATGGATTGTAGGTAAGTACCATCTTGAAGTTTTAGTTGGATTAACCCATCCTAAAAGAAAGTAATCGAGTTCTAGTAGTCTCAATATCACCGATCTTTCTCTCGGGCATTATTTCAGCTGAAGCATCTATTTTTGCGACCGAAATATCCCGAGATTCTGACCTCAATGAGTGTAGCATCAAATATCAACCAACTTCAATATGCACCAAAGTCGGCTATCTCGCTACTTTCTAATGGCTAAGTTGTGTCACCTAAGGTTCTACGCTCAGTTAGTGCTTTATGACACCACGCGGTAGCCCAGCATTCTCCTTGACTTAACTCAAGGGACACTGGTACCCACCAATGTGTTGCACTAATGTAGCCATCACTTCAACCGTATCGGTGTACGCCATACAGTTTTCACGATCTATTGCTACTTACCTAAATGCCCCATATTCGAGTATAGGATCTTTACAAGAATACCCAAACAACCTTTTAAGGATAAATCAAGCAAGTCAAATAAGGAAATCATTTAAACTGTGAAATATCTCTAAGATAACCCCACTTTTAGTTTTCCTCAGCAGAGTCGCCAGTTCTATAATACAATGGGAGAACTGACTTTACTAGTTTTGTGTTTTATCGCAAATGTTGCGGTTTAGCAAGAGTCACCATCGACTTTTCTTTTATTCAATAATGGAAAGGGTGAAAAGAACAGGAAAGACCTTTCGAGAATTTTTCTGAGTAAGGGGGTAGGTTATGAAAAGGGAATGTGTTAACACCCTTTTCATCCGTAGTTATCTACGGGATCTTAGTTGCTAACTCACTTTGAAAATGCTTTTTTGTGTAAGTGTATTTTGAAAATATTTTGAAAAGACGCCTTAGTGCGGCGAACTTTGTAATGATTCTCGTATCATTGAGAACGCATACAAAGTGTTTTTTGTCTTTGAAAATATTTAGAAAAGAGAGTGCGTGTGTGAGAAATTTGTTTTGTTTTATGAGAAAGTAACTAAGAGCTGTCTACCTACTCAAAATGTATTTGTTCTTTTCTTCTTTTTTTTTAGATAGTGCTATCCTACCATTAGTTGGTAGGTAGCCCCATCATTGGATATTTTGAGGGACGGGCGAGGGTTATCGTACAGTCACGAAGGCAACTCGTAAGACGTTTTAGCAATTACCTTAAGGTATCAAGATCATTTAGCGAGGCAGCATCGAAGGGTCATCGAGGGACTATGATCTTGTAACCAAAGGGTCTTTGCTAAAATTTCTCACATTCGAGAGACGCGACTGCTTGTTTTCCGAAGGCAACAAGTGGAGGTACCTTAGAGGTGTGTGTGTGTGTGTGTGTGAAGTGTGTTGTTTTCAGTTATTTGTCTTGAGGATTAGATTTTCTACCGTTTGCTTTTAAATCTTATCAAGAAAACCTATTAGAATACATCTAGCAGTTAAATATAAGGGCAGAAAATGAAAATGTAGAAAGTAAAATCTAAACTATTACATCGCTTCGGGGATAGGGGGTACAAGTAAATAAAAATAGGGGGATAACGAGATCCTTACTAATTATTACAAACTATAAGCAGTTACAATAATATAAAAAATGTGAAAACAATAACTACGCAATGATGGTAAGAAAAAGAAATGGGGAAGGAAATTACTTTGGAAATGTTGAAAAAAAGGGTTTGATGATTAATCTAATGACCTAATTTATTTTAATTTATTAAAAGGAATGGTTTAATTAAATTAATATAACCTAAAAGAAACTACGGTTGATTTTAATTAGAAAAAAGACTAATTTTAATTCAATAAAAAAAGATTAGTTAAATCTAACAAAAAAACTAAAATCTAAATTAATTTTAATTTATAAAAAGGCTTAATTTGAATTATGTAAAAAATAAGAAGTTAAAATATAAAAAAAAAAATGAGATTTGGGTCTAACTGAAGTAAAATGGGGGTGTAAATTACAAATGAAATTCAGGCCCACTGAACTAGCACTGGATTCAGTGGATTGCCACTCCAGGAGTCTATCACGGAATGCGCGTTTTGGAGGCGTCATATTAGGCCTGTGATGATCTGATGGTGAGAGACATTATGGTGCATGCTTTGATGATGGGACGCGCTACACAGGATCCTGTAAAACATGAAAAATATAGAGAAAAAGTAAAAGGGGCAGGCTCAAGCCCTTGCCCTTGTACATGAATGACTTATCACACGCCATCTCGCCACTGAACCATTACCTATTTCGTGTGCATTATACAATATTCAGTCAATACATAAAAAACGCGCATGACAATGCAACAAGATCACGCATTAGGGTTTGTATACTTCTTCTACTGTGTCCCACCTTTAAATTTGCTCTTGGGGGATCACCAAACACCCTGATTGTGTATCTTGTATATATGTGTTGTATATTTTACTGACCTCTAACCAAAAATCCAAAAATATGTTTTGTTTATTTTGTTTCTTGTAAAACAGGGTTTCGATCAAGAAATTCAGGTGATAATTTTCTGATTAGGGTTGTGGTTTGTTCAGGACAAAGATGGTCTCCAAAAGCTTTTGTTTCAGAGCGGTGACATATAATATTAGCTCACGCTATTCTCAAGCTTCATTCAGCATGGTTAAGGCGAGTTTGGTGACATAATTCTCAAGACTCTTCGAGATAGGTTCATGTGTTTATTTCCATGTCTTCTTCGATGAGTACTCTTAAGTTCTGACAAGTGTGAGTATGATTTGATCAAGACTTCGTCATCTCAAGTTCATATGTGATTAAGAATGCCTTGGGTTGTGAAAAAAGATCAAGTTTGTGAGTTGATTCGAAGTTGTCGAACCGAAAGTCAACATTTGCAAGTTCGAGTTCAAATGATCATAACTTCTTCATTATTCAACATTTTTGATCGATTTTTGAGCATATGATTCCTTTTGACATTCTCTTCAACTTATCTTTTCAAGTCTAGAGCTAATTATGTGTAGAAGACCATCAAAAGTTTAATTACATTAGAGGTCGCTTTGTGACTTTGATCTAATTTCAGTTGACCTTCATCCAACTTTCAAGGATCACAATTCTTTCGATCTTCATCATTTCAGTTTGATTCTTTTCACACAATACTCTTTATGATGTCATCTACAAATTTGCTTGAAGGGTCCAAAACATATTGTACTTAGAAAGCTACGGTTTCTATTGGAACATTATTGGTCATTTTCGACCTCTAATTTCGATTTACATCATAAATTTTTAAGACAATGTTTTTTATGAGAAGTTTTCATTGATCAAGAATTGTATTGGAAATTAGTGGACTAGGGCATGAGATTTTTTTTAGTTTAAGAGTTCATAGATTCAAATTAATTCAAAGCTTCGATTTGGAATTCAAAAGGTCGGGGAATATCTTATTTCATGAGTTCATAAATTATAAATCAAAGGGGTATTCAAATGGCATTCCCTTATGAGAAAATCCATTCAACGTCATATCCAAGTGTTGAAGTTTCGACATATTATCAAGATAAATTCCTAACTTCATCAAGAAGGATTATTTAAGAAATTCAACACATTCATCGATTCTTTCAAGTTTTTTTTAAGGATCTAAATCAAATTTTCATTCATTTTCTCAAGAGATACAAGACCAAAAAGCTTCATGGAAATCCAAGTTCATCAAAGATTTCAAGCGTCCTTCATTCATCGTTTTCAAATTCATTCAAACTTCATCTCACCCTTAACTTAGAAGAAATTTCAAGTTCTTTATTCAAATTACACCAAATATTACAAGAGTGTCTCGATTTCTATCCCAAGTCTCTAATGCCTAGTTTCAAGCTATATCACCAATGTTACAAAAAAATTCAAATGCATTATATGGCCTAATCTTCAAGTAATATCAACATCATTTTCGATTTGCCAACGATTCTTGATCATCCTTGAGTTTAATCTACCATGCCAAACTCCAAGCTTTGACATGGTTTCTTCTCCATAGTTTCCATGACATGTCTCAAGCATTGTTCACAACACATGAGAAGAAATAAAAAAAATGGTATGTTAGCATATCAATTCAGTCAAAAAACAACAAAATTCACACAAGCTAGCAAGATTTGAATAGTATGTTTAAGGCCTCATTTGTTGCATAAATCAGAATCTTGGTTTAATCATCGGTCGTGACCTCTATTACAAATCATAAACCCAATATTTGATTCACAATAAAGGTTTAAAAAAGTTAGTGCGTGGATACGAGTACGTCCAAATAAATCGGCATCACAACACCACCATAAAAAGAAGAAAAAAACAAGTTTGTAATCACAGTTTTTTCCAGCCCAACAACCAAAACCTCATATTGCTTTTGTTTCGCAACAAAATCAGATTCAAGTTTAATCATGGGCCTAGTTCTATCTAGAATTTTTTCCCTACATGCCACGCCCATGAAACAAAATTCTCAAAATGCCACGTTCTGAAAAAAAATTCTCAAGATGCCACACCCAGGGGGGGTTCACGCCATTTGAGATGGCGCGAACGAGAGCAGGAAGGGCTCACGCCAAATCAAATGGCGTGAAATGCCTTTATATTTTTTTTTCGTTTTCTGACTTTTTAGTTATTTATTTTAATTATTTAATGTTTATATTAATTACAAATACTTTAAATAAGTATTTAGTTATAAAATTAATACTTCAAATAAATATTTAGCAATTACAATATGATAATAAAAAAATTTCATTAAATAAATAAAATATCACAATTACAATCAAAAGGTAAAATAAAATAAAACTAGTTAGAAGGGCCTGCATTGTTGAGACGATGCAGACATTTTTTCCGCATATGATGTTGACAGATACCGCATCGTCTTTTTATTTTTTAAACAGTGTCTATTTCAGTTCTAATACGAGTACTGTTTGTGCGACCTTTTTTGTTTTGTCGCATCCTTTCATCATGCATAAGAGTATCGCCCAAATATGAAGGCCAATTATCTTCTTGGGGTACACCGAGGAAACTTTGTATGTAAATTTTGAAGACGTTTATAACTCTATACAAGTCAGGAATAACCGTAGTATAGTCATGGTTAATGTGAGAACACGCTGCGATAGCATGTGAGCAAGGCAGATGAAAAGTTTGAAATCTCCCACAGTCACAAGTTCGTGTTTGGAGGTTGACGTTGAAATGGGTAAGTGGCCGACAATTCCTGTTATTAACCGTCTCTTGAACCACGAAATAATGACTTTCACGGTCAAAAGCCAAGACATTATAACTGTGGAATTTTTCTACTTCTTCTGCAATTCCTTTCATGCAATTATCTGTGAACTCCTTTCCCGATGACAAATTTTTGGTCCAATCCTTTCCTCGCTTACCCCACAATGTTCCCATCCTGTAGTATTTACAAGTGATGTAATAGGTAAGTTTCGGGTTTCCTTCAAAACTGAGTTCAAAGATTCAGCTAGGTTGGTTGTCATGTGACCCCATCGTGCTCCTCCGTCGTAAGCTCGCGACCATTTTTCTCTTGGAAGGTTCTCTATCTAATTAAAAGCCTATGTGTTTGTTTGGCTGATCTCCTCCCAATAATATGCGTAGGTAGACTCATTAATTGCATACCCTTCATAAAAGCATTAAAACATTAATATAAAAGAACTATATATTGAAATGTCGTGTTAAAAATTAGAGAGTAATTACTCATGTTAACAACTGTCTTGCGAAGGTTTTTGTCCTTGATGGCTCGCATGAAGTTTTGTGCGATGTGCCTAATGCAATACACATGCACCGATGGTGGGTTCTGCCAGCCATTATCCGAGTTATTGTAGGCACTCTTAATAGACTCATGTCGATCAGATATCAAACATAAGTCTGATTGGGGTGTGACGTGGAGTCTCAAATTTTTCAGAAAGAAACTCCAAGCTCCCCCGGTCTCACCTTCGACCAATGCATATGCGATTGGGAAAATGTTACCATTCCCATCTTGTGCAACAGCCAGGAGCAATGTTCCCCTATATTTTCCATACAGCCATGTACCATCTACCTGCACTATAGGTTTACAATGTGCGAAACCCCTAATACAAGGTTGAAATGCCCAAAAAAGGCGATGGAAAATTCTTGCACCACCAATTTGTGTTTCTTCATTTGAATATACAGGAAGTGTTTCAAGATCTATGATGGTACCTGGGAAAAATTGTTGCATGACTAGCAACCACCGTGGAAGGTTGTTGTAAGAGGCCTCCCAATTACCATAAATATCTTTGATTGCTTTGTTCTTTGCAATCCATGCCTTTTTGTAAGACACGGTGTAGCTATAAGTCGTACGAATATGAGCAACAATATGTCTAACCTTGATTGTCGCGTCGCTGTCAACAAGAGGTCTGATGTTATGGGCGATCATCTTTGAGGTAAGCTTTTTGTGATCTTGAGATATAGCAGTCGACATGCAAGTGTGTGGCCCTCCAATTCTGCCAATAACCCATTTACCACACCCCTCCCTTAACGAAGCCCTACATGTGAAGTTGCATTCCTCCTTTTTACATTTAATTAAATATCGTTTTTACATTTTTATGTGATACTCAGATATTGCATGGAGACATGCTTCTTTGTTTTCAAAAGTCATACCAACCTTTAAGTCATCACGTGACTCACGTTCGTGTACGGGTTCGAAGACTGAAATTGGTTCCACACATTCAAATGAAACATTTCTTAAGTGATAGGGTGGGTTGTACATATCAAGTATAGGAGTCGGTTCTGCCTCCAGTCTGTCATCGTCACCTGACTCGTCACTGGACCCACTAAACAAATTAATTTGTCTGGCATCGTCGGAGTCAGTATCATCACCCACTTCCTCTTCTGGAAATATTGGCTCGTTATGTTGTTCTTGGACAGACTCTTCTTGTTGGGAGACCTGACTTTGTTGATATGCATGAGTTTGTGATGATTGTGTTGGAAATACTTCATGCATTTGTTGAAAACAAATATACAACTCCATTGCTTGTTGACTGCAAAACCTTGAGTGACATTGAAGCATTGAACGGACATCTTCATCGTCTTAGATTTTTGCAGTGTTGTATGTGACATTGTGATCAACTGGATTAACTATTGGAAATCGATAAAAAATAGAAGTTACATGTTGTCGTAAAGTTTCTTCTATTTTTTCCGTCAACTGAGCTAAATCACTATTTCGATGAATATTTAAAATATGTGTATCTGTATTTTGAAATATCACTCCAATAATTTCATCGGTAAAAATATTACCATTGAAATGTAACAGACAAGAAATATGATTTTGTGGCATTGTGTTTGATGTAATGTTCAATTGTTTGGATATGTGATAGCTTGGTTTGTTGAATAAGATACAACTATGTTGAATTGTATTTCATGCATGTATTAATAAACAAACAGCAATTCGTTGGATTTATTGTACTGTCGCCAAGTCAAATGGCGTGATGCTTTGGTTCTTGTACACTTGCGCCATCTCAAATGGCGTGAGCCCTTGGAGGCGCCATTTCAAATGGCGTGAAGCCCCTAGTTACACCAAGTCAAATGGCGTGAACCCTAGGGTTGCTCCAATTCAAATGGCGTGAAGCCTATGTGTCTGGCGTGAAGATGTCATATGTGTCATGCATATAAGAGCTACATTAAACGATTATGTTATCAGATTAAAATGAGTCTGATACTCTGCTCAGTATACATTATTCTGTATAATTCACAGGTTGTTATGTTTGATTATAGAAATGCATTTTCTAATCCTTTGGTTGTGCGGCTTATGGAAAGATCTAAACTAATTCATTTGAAAAATCAATTACGTCAAGTCACAAATATTAATAGGAGCATTACAGAGATATCTTTCGACCGGACTACCATCAACGAAAATGGAGTGTTGATGCAGCATATTACAAAGTTAGTTACAAATACAGATGTATTTAACATGTTTGAGGATTTTCGAATTGGTGTTAATAAAATACCATTTGAGTTGTATGTCAGATTCAGTAGATCAGCCGATGAGGTTTTATCATTGTGTACAAAACTGTGTAATTTACAATATTCGTAATAAATTATAAATTTATAATTATCCAACTTTCATTAAATTACTCTACTACCTACCAACTCTAATTAAATTACTCTACTACCTATTAACCATAATTAATTAAATTATTCAACTACCAACCAACCACACTCACCTCTTTTTTCCTATAAATACTCAATCACTCTCACCTCATTTCTCCACAAACACACTTCATTCTATTCACACTCTCTACTCTCTTTTGATAAGTCTTCTCTTCTCTCTTTTCATAAGTTTTCAATTAGTTATTCATTTTCACAATTATGGCCAATATGTTTTGGTATGGTACACAACATAGGGGAACGGTAGAAAATATCAATGTTGTAAGTATTTTTGATTTATTCAACTTTATTCATATTATTTATTTTTGAGTTTACAATAGTAGTTTTATTCATAATTTGCATAGAAATATTGAATATTTTTCTATATTACTTATTTCTATTACAGATTGATGATAATTATATTTCTAAATGGAGAATCCGTGCTCACAAACCTCTAAAGCCACATGCAACCATAATCCCGTACCTTCACCAATCTGGGTTCTACCATGTATCTACAATAGGGTCAACACACATCGATTCAAGGTTAATTATAGCCTTACTGGAACGGTGGAGACCCGAAACTCATGCATTTCATCTTCCAAACGGTGAATGCACAATTACATTGGAAGATGTGAGTATGTTATTGGGGCTTCCTGTAGATGGAAAAGCGGTAAATGGTCAATCTGAGTTAGGTGATGGTGCATGGAGTTCTATTTTAGGGATGAACCACCACAAAGTGATAAGGGAATGACTGCGAGGTTGATATTGCTTAAAGACATGTACCAACATGAACCACCAACAAGGACTCGTATTTATATCTTACTCCTTATCGGGCAAGTTTTGTTTCCCAACAAAAGCTGTAATACTATACACTCAAAATGGACACAATTGTGGATTTAGAAGATGGTGGAAAATTGAGTTGGGGTTCCGCCGTTTTAGCGAATCTATATAGAGAAATGTGCAAGTTGGTAGACATAAAAGTAACAGAGATGTCAGGATGCGTTTTACTTCTTCGGCATGGAAAAGCGGTAAATGGTCAATCTGAGTTAGGTGATGGTGCATGGAGTTCTATTTTAGGGGATGAACCACCACAAAGTGATAAGGGAATGACTGCGAGGTTGACATGGCTTAAAGACATGTACCAACATGAACCACCAACCGAGGAGTCACCCGAGGAGTATAAAATTAAACATGCTCGTATTTACATCTTACTCCTTATTGGGCAAGTTTTGTTTCCCAACAAAAGCGGTAATACTATACACTCAAAATTGACCCAATTTATTGTGGATTTAGAAGATTATGGAAAATTGAGTTGGAGTTCCGCCGTTTTAGCGAATTTATATAGGGAAATGTGAAAGTCGATAGACATAAAAGTAACAGAGATGTCAGGATGCGTTTTACTTCTTCAAGCTTGAGCTTTTACACGCATGCCTATAATATCTCCGGTGGCTCCGCTTCAATCTCCATATCCTTACGCAAGAAGGTAATATTTTATTTTAAATTTAAAATTATAATTAATATTGTTAGGATACTTTAAAATAAAATTTAATTTTAAATTCTTTTTAGGTGGTGCATCAAGAAACTTGACTACCAAAACAACTCGCGCCACCATATATAAGGATACCGATTCAGGATTGATCACATGCTTCAAGATCAGGTTTTTTTGTCTTCGCCTTAATATTTCTTATAAATTTTTGAATTTTATTTTGGTTAAACTAAAAAATTTTATGTACAACTTCTAAGTTTATTTGGAGGCTGTATCTTGGATTAGCGCTCCAAAGGCACGAGGACAGTTTGATATGTAGTTCAACCAAGCATATACCACATTATACTCTGATGAACAAAATTGTTGGTTGCATCAAGAATTATTTACGTTGGATGAAGATCAATTACAAACAGAGAAGAAACCGTCAAATGAGTACATGCAATGGTATCACTCGCTTCCACGTAGATATGCATCGTACGAACAATTTCTCAATGACCCTCGTCAAAATCAATATGCCCCTACTCAGGCAAGTGTCTCTCAACAACCACTTGTCTGAGTAGGGGCATATTGATTTTGACGAGGGTTAGTGAGAAATTGTTCGTACGTTGCATATCTATGTGGAAGCGAGTGATACCATTGCATGTACTCATTTGACGGTTTGTAATTGATCTCCATCCAACGTAAACAATTCTTGATGCAACCAACAGTTTTGTTCATCAGAGTATAATGTGGTATATGCTTTTTGGCGCGCTTTTATTGTTGTCATCTTTTATTGTTGTCATCTTATGGTGTTCAGCCAAGC